TTTGAGAAGGCTTTAAAGACATTCAAGCCAAAATGTCATTTTGGCAGTTGGAAATCTAGACCTAAGAAGAAAGTTTGGGAGGAGACAGAAATTGTCAGCAATCATTGGGAGATAAAGCTACTAGAAAGAATGAGACCTTCTTGGAGAAAGAAATGAGAAAGCATCGATTAGGGTCTAGAACAAGTCCTGAGAAAATCCAATATTTAAGACAGGAGAGAAAGAGTTAACAAGACGGACAGTGTCCTCATCTAGATTATTCCAGGTTTACAACTCTTCTAATTTACCTTCTCCCAGGAGCCCTTCCTGATTGGCCTAAATTAATTCTGCTTATATCTGCACCTCTTGAATTCACCTAGCATTTCTCCCAATTCCCTATTTATACAGTGCTTTATACTATTTATTCATTATTTCTGTACATTGCTTGACCAAGTTGTGACCCTATGGACTGAATTCTGTCCATGGAATTCTGCAGGCAAGAACTGGAGCTGGTAGCCACTTCCTTCTCCAGGGGATCTCCCAGACCCCTGGGGACTGAACCTGGGTCTCCTGCACCGTAGGCAGATTCTTTACCATGTGAGCCACCAGGAAAGCAAGTCTATTACAAGATTGCTATTGGAAGTAGTGTTGAGAGAGGTATTCAAGCTGAAAGTTTAGGGAAACACTTGCGGTAGAAGATGGATGTGTGAACATCTCTAGGGAAAACCAGATAGGTAAAATGTGGTACAAGTCTTGGAAGCTGACACATAGCAAACAAGTATCTAACAGGAAACTTTGGGGGGTATTATTTGTTATTTTTCATTTTTATTATGGGACCTGAATTGATAAATAATCTTGCCTCCCATCACACATGTCCAAGGTGAAATATGTGAAGTACTAGTTAAGGTACCAGCAGGTCAAGTGAGCTACCTGATGTAAAATCACTGGGAAAAAAAAAGACTAAACCCGGTGTACATTTAGCAGAGGAACCAAATGAACAAGACAGAAGAGCCGTGCCAACAGGCAAGGACTCCGGGGTCAGTACACTGCTCAGGGATTCATACGGCCGTCCTACTGGGTAAGTACATTTTTATTACATCTCTTAAATAAACTCCATTTGCAGTAGACAGGACAATGAACCCCAAAGACGTCTATGTAATAACCCCCAAACCTGTGAATATACTGTTTTCATGAGCAAAATGGACCCTGCTGACTGAGTAAATCAAGGGCCAAAGAAAATGGGAGGTTATCCAGTGAGCCCATTGTAATAACAAAAATTCTTATCTGTGGGAGGCAGAAAGGTCAGAGGCAGAGAAGGGGATGTGAGAAGAGAGGTGGAGAGAGATGGTTGCGCTGCTGGTTTCGAGACGAAGGAGCCAATAAATGTTTAAAAAAAAAAACAACTTAAAATCAGTTTGCCTTTATATATGATATGATAGATACATGTATAGATATATATTATGTATAGATACATATGTATATATTACGTATAGATATATATACGATAGATATATATTATATATGATAGACTAAAAGAATCAATGGAAAACATCAAAGTGAAAAGTGAAGTCGCTCAGTCGTGTGTGACCTTTTGCAATCCCATGGACTGTAACCTGTCAGACCCCTCCATCCATGGGATTTCCCAGGCAAGAATACTGGAGTGGGTTGCCATCTCCTTCTCCAGGGATCGAACCCAGGTCTCCCACACTGCAGGCAGACTCTTCACCATCTGAGTCACCAGCGTATCCCTAATGGAAAACATACATATACAATGGAAAACATATATATATATATACACACACACACTAACATAAAGAAATGTAAAAACAACATTAAATGTCTATGAACAGGAAACCTCTAAAATAACATACAGGACATTCACAGAGTGGACTCATTCGGCACTTGAAAGAATAAGCAGTGTGTATTGCTGTGAAAAGATGCCCATCGTACGTCATGCATCTGAAGGCAACCCGTAGGACAGCATTTAATTACGTGACTCTGGCCACAGTGCTTTCTAAACTGTGTGAGGGTGAGAGAAAAAAATTCCTGAACAAAGTCAAGCAGTTTTTTCAACAGCCAATTTTATTTTGGCAATCAAAAACATTTAACAAGTCATCCATCAAAGGAAAACAAAAGTCATAATGTTTAAAATTCTATGTAAAGTGAGCCCTTCACCATAGCTTATACTTTCTTACAGAAAAGTTTGTTTTTGTGAGAGGAGGCAGAAATCTCTACCAGTCAGCACCTCAGCAATACCTGACATATGACTGATGGTCATAATATTGTAAAAGACCCTTTCAGCAGTAAACATGAAACTGCATTTGTGTATCTGCTACATTTCATTACATTCTAGCTCTTTGAAAATTGGTAATTCATTGATGAGATACATAGCAACTTTCTGTTAAAAACCCCTATTTTGTAACAATGTAATAATATGAGAAAACTTTTTGTGTTTTTAGGAGAAACACTGAAAAGATAACAATTATAATTATTGCCTGCATCTTGTAAACATTACTTCTGAGGCATTTCTCTATGGTAGTTAAATTTCAATTAAAATAGGGAAATTCAAAGTGAGACAATTGACTGACAGACTCGTTTCCTATTCTCTCAAATACTATGTACACTGCAAGTTTTATTAAAGATTCAAAAATAACAAAGTAGAAGGAGAAACCAATAATAGGAAGAAAGTAAAACACACACACACAGAAACATATACAGCCAGTTTAGTGTAAGAAAGTAAAATATAACAGTATGCATTAACCTTAACCCCTTACCTTTCCCCACAACAGTCAGCTTGGAAAAACAATTACTGAAATAACTGAACTTTCACTATTCCCAAACTTAAATTGAAATTGACAGGAAAAAAAAAAAAGACTGCTGCTTAGTAAAAAGTACAGTAAATACGCAAAAACTGAATGGGAAAATATAAATTAGGAAACATTACTTTTGAACTGACCAATTCTCCAAACATCATTGGACTCATTTAGTTTTTTAGTAATAGCAGTATACTGTTGACATTATTCCTTTATCACACATTTTGATTCACCATCACAAATTACTTACCACTATTTTTTAATGAAATAGTCAAAATAAATCGAAACCCATGGGAAAATGAACCTGGGCCATACAAACAACTGTGCAAAGAACCTTAATTCTGGATATATAAATGCAAGAGTAGTGTGATTAAAAAAAGAGGCTGGACATTGGAGTGAGACAGTCTAGCCTGAATTCTGGGTGAACCTCAGTAGCTTAATTTCTTTCTCTGAGCTTCAGTTTCCTCATCTATGACACTGCAAGATTACTAACAGGCTTAACAATATATAAGTAAAGCGTCTAGAACAGTACCTGGTACACGCTAGGTAATAATGCGTTTGAGAAACAGTTCTTGCCGTTGTTGTTCAGTCCCTCAGTCATGTCCATCTCTTTACGACCCCATGGACTGCAGCCAGCCAGGCTTTCCCATCCTTCACTGCCTCCCTAAGTTTGCGCAAACTCATGTCCACTGAGTCAGTGATGCCATCCAACCATCTCATACTGATAAACAGTAATGAGTACTTTACATGTACAAACTCAATCAATGAATGATAAATATTAGTACCACTAGCTCTGGTACTGTCTTCACCTTTTGCTCCTCTCTGCCCAGCAGCACAGAAATAATGCTAGTTATGTGTCAGGCAATGTACTAAACTAGTTACATGGATTATTTCATTTGATTTTCACAACCATCACAGCAATAAGGTAGCAACTATTTATTATTAATCTTTGTTTACACAGTAGGAAATATAGACTTAGAAAGATTAAATAACTTGCCTAAGTTCACACACATAGTAAAGTGTGACTTCGGAGCCCCCACACTTAGAAACACATAAAAAGAAACATTACTTATAATTCATTAATGTGGAAATAGCAGACACACCTACCACGCAAAGTCCGTTGGTTTTTAATGAGGTTTTGAAACAGATGAGTCAGACAGACACGTATCAGGATCTACACCAGATGACTACTACCAGTTTCCACTTCTTCATTCAAATCCGTTTCAATCTCCTAAAGGGAATCTGAGGTGGCGAGAAGGCCAATTCCTAATTAAGTGCCAACTGAGGAGATCAAACAGCAGTTCACAACATGCTTATCTTCTGAGTAGGTATTAACACTCTTTACACAAACGAAGCTAAACTGACCGAGACTGGTCCGGGAAAGAAACATCTTTTCACTTAATAAGGACTGACCAACTTCTCTAACAGACGTTCCACGAAGCACTCTAAATCAGTAAGACCCAATCCTGCGGTTCTTAGAGATTAGTTAGGAACCAGGAGCGACTGAATGGCAAGCACAGGCTCCAAAATTTTCCTTCGACTTCCAAGGCAATCTACAAACCTCCCCGCAACGCAGCCCTTCAAAGCGAAACGTGCGGGTGGGAAAAGCAGCGCTCACAGCCTTGAGGAACGTCCCCTCTTTCCGTTCATCTCGGCGACATGAGCCTCGCGTGGACTGGAGGGAACGGAGAACAAACTTTTCCCTCTGCCAGATGGCAAAATAACTATCTGCAATTTCCCTTCCAAGGTCAGTGTTCACATCACTTCTTCCCAGGGGCGACACCGAGGAATCAAGTGACCCTATGTGAGCTAGGCGCTTGGAAACCAAGGTGCCTCTGAAGAGGCTAAATTTCAGACTCTGACCTCTTCCTGGATTCTAAAGCAGAGCGGCAGCGAGTGATTAGCTCACCCCCCGCCTAGCACACCTGCCGCCCCAGCACACCTGTGGCCCCTGCACCAAACCTGGGTGGGCAGCGGAAGGCAGGGACTTGCTTCATCTTGACGGCCCCAGGGACCAATCAGCGCCCGCGACTCCCGCAGCGGACCAATCGCACATCAACTTGAATCCCGCAGCTCGGAGCCCCTACCGAACCAACCCTTTGAGTGGGCTGAGCGCGGGACCTCTTTCAGTGCCAGCTGAGGCGCCGCAGCCCCAAGAAGGCGAGTAAGAGTTCGCGAGGAAAAGAGAACGGCAAACAAAGAAGTACTCACCCGCACAGGCGCAGGAGGGTCACTTCTCCCTGCTGGGCAACATCGCGCTCAATCTGTGCCGGGCAGGCACGCCCCTGCCCAACCGCCGCCGCGGCTGCCTCGGGCTCGGGGTTCGCCGCGGCCCGTTTCGAAGGAACCAATCGGCGCGGCCTGTTTTGGAGGAGGCGGGGAGGGGGCGTGGCTCGAGGCCCCGCCCCCGCCTCCAGGCCTCTGGGAGCACGAGACCTGCGTGCGTCTCGATCCAGGGACTGGTTTCCTGCCTCCGCCTGGGGTCCCACGAGTCTGGCGGCCAAGTCGCTCTTCTCACAGAAAATGGCTTGGTCACGGGTCACGTCCTTTCGTCTAGCCCCTCAGCGACAACAATAAACCCTATTTGTCCAGATTAGCACGAGAGGTGAATCAGCCACTTCTCGAAGCATCCTGGAGTGTTGCCCCGAGTTGCCCTGAGTTTTATCCTGATCTGTTAAGAGCCCCTCCCAATCCTAAATCCAACCGAGGTTTCACTGTATTGAGGGCGCTGCCGTCTCGGGATACAAACTGTCGTCCTTGTGAGGGGCGTGGGGAGAGGGAGAGAAACCCTGCAGCCCCAGGCCACCGCTGAAAGCAGAAAGAGGATGTTGGCTGTTCCTTCGGGAAACGCCCGAGGAGGGCGTGGGGGAGGGGAGGGAGGAGGATTTGACCGCAGCACGATGAGGGCTGAGGTAAAGTGGAGACTGGTCTTGAATGTAATCAAAGATAGATCTCCGATCACTAAACGGGGCTTGTTAATATGGGGATAAAGTCAGAGCCGAAAGCCTGGAATGCCAGGCCCTTTCTCTCAGCTTTATTTTGTCAAATTATGTCGCCTTTCTGGGTCTCAGTTTCCCATCTGTAAAGAGTGGAATTGACCAGGAATGATGCTCTTTAGCTGGAAAAGGAAATGGCAAACCCACTCCAGTGTTCTTGCCTGGAGAATCCTGTGGACAGAGGAGCCTGGTGGGCTGCCGTCTATGGGGTCGCACAGAGTCCGACGCGACTGAAGCGACTTAGCAGCAGCAGCAGCAGATGCTCTTTAGCATTTACTCCTTCAATCACTTATCAAAAAAACTATGAAGAGGTACTGTTGCTTGCTGAAAGACTAAAAAGAGAAAAGTCTTTACCTTGAAAGTGCTCAGCAACGTGGTAAAGACTCAGTGGAAATCAGAGAATCTGTGAAAGAGGAAACTCCTAGTGTCCAAGGGTGATGGTCAGAGGCTTGAAAGGACTTGAATTTTGAAGGACAAATAGGGATCTGCCAAAGGAGAGAATAATTAGGAGCGAGGAGTGCTTTCTAGGCAAGAGAATAAGCTTCCAAGGATGTGAGAGCATCTGGAATGCTCTGGGAATTGTAGTTCTGAATGACAAGTTTAGGGATTTAGAGGTATTGATAAATCAGGCTAGAGAAGTAAGCACAGAGGAAACCTTTGTAGATACTATGGAATTTAGATTCTTTCTTGCAAGCAATTGTGATTGATTTGTGTTTTAGGGGAAAAAATATTTTGAGGGTTTTGGAGACAGGAGTAAGATTGGCAGCAATTCTAAAAGTTAAAAGATTATAATTACTTAAGCTAGTTCAGAAGGGGTAGTGAGAAAGAGATGTCTGGAGATACTTAAGAGGCTGATTTATCTGGACTTGGTATCGTATGACAGTGATGCCAATCTAAGGAACATAAAGAAAACAACACTTGGGGAAGAATAATGCATTTTGGTGTCAGGTTGTGTCCACTTTGAAATGTGAGAAGAATGTGCACGTTGAGGTGTTCAGAAGATATGGTTGGGAAATTAGGTCTGAAGCTGGTTAAACTGGTTCGTGCAAGAGACAGAGATTTGAGAAGTCAATTTAACAAACACATTTAAGCAGTTGTTCTGTACCAGACTCCACCCTAAGCAGTGGAGTCCTGCTGTTGCAGAGCTTACCTTCTGGGTTAGCCCGGTAAAGATGGTCATCAAAAAGTTGACATTTAAGTGATCTTTGAATCTGATACCCAAGAGTGGTTGCTCCTTTTTTACTGGTGTCTTTACCAGAACCCTTTGTTGTCCATGACCGCAGTAGATCCATTTTCACAGGACCTGGTGTTCAGATCAACCTGTGTTTTATAGCAAGGGTCCCCAAATTCTGGAATCTAATGCCTGATTAACTGAGGTAGAACTGATGTAATAATAATTGAAATAAGGTGCACAATAAATGTAATGCACTTGAATCATCCCGAAACCTGCCCCCTCCCCCCCCACAGACACACACACTCTGGTCCATGGAAAAACTGTCTTCCATGTAATTGGTCCCTGGTGTCAAAAGGTTGGGAACCAGTTTTATAGTGTTTCTATTTAAAACTAAAGGGGCAATTTGTCAGACCATTTCATTCAGCCAAATTTCGAGTGGAGTTCTGATTTTACGTTGGATTTGTTAAGCCCAAATATCAAAATATGTACACTGCTCTCCAGAACCTTAAGAATAAGTAAATTGTGTCACACAGATTTTGTTTGAGGAGTCAATAGTTAACAGTTCTACTTTTTCTTACATGCATGCTATGTACCTAAACATTTGAATACTATTTATTAAAAATTGAAACTATGTTATGTGAAGTATGTATACATTCTCTCTCAAATACACTCACACACACACACTCACACACCACTTAATATTTCTCTAAGCCATTTGCTGAAATTTTGGCAGCGGGGTATTTTCATGGTTGGTTTCTTTTTATTTTCATTGTCTATTTGGTTTGTCTTGGTAACTCCTCTAGCTTATAAAGGACAATGTGGTGAAAAGTGAATCCAGAGTCAGGAAATCTAAGCCCATCTTCCTCATTGGTTAAAGGTGGGGAATGGGTGAGGAGTTCCCTTCTAGATTCTTTGATTCTTATTGCTTTTCCCTTATGAATGAAAAGAAGCCCCCATGTTGCTCTCTCAACCTCACTTTTACAAGAATTCTCAGTTAGTACCCCACCCCCTAAGCACATTCACCATATTACCTACCTTGATTTTAACACTGCAATTAGTAATTGAGGGTTTCAACAAGTGAACTGCAATTTACTTTCATGTGTAGATTTTCTAATTGGTGGTTATGTTAATAGTAATGTTTTAGGTGTTCTCACTTGAAATTGGCATGGTCGGAACATGCAAAGCAAGCCTCACCAGTTTGCTCCCATCAGATGGCAAAGTATTTTATTTAATGGGTCTGACTTTCTCCAGATTGTGATGAAAGCATCATGCTTGGAGATCTAAATTTTTCAAGTTATTACATTAGGAATATCCATTCACCTGACTACACATCTCTACAGAACACAGAAGAGTCACCCATAATCTCATCATCCTTGAACACAGAAATGTGATTTTGGTGTTTTCCACAACCCTGAAAGAATGCTCCTTTATTGCTTAAAGTTTATTGTCGTTGTTGGAGATTTTTTTCCTTTGATTGATTTATTAGTTGTTTTGTTCTGCATTTTGTTTTTAATGCTTTGACATTAGCTATCAATTCATGGATTCTGCCTTGTGTGAACTACTAGATGAAATTTGGGGGCTACAGAGATCTTGATTCACTCAGTTAATTAAACTACTCATTCAACAGATGATCTATTGAGAGCCAACATTAAAAACAAGACTAAGGTCAGTCTTAAAGGGATGTTATTGATTTACATTAACAAATATTATCTGTATGTAATTCAATAATATAAAATTTCATAACAGTTATGATCAATACTAAAATGTTATATTTATATAGTGAGTCGAATAGCCTCCCCTCCAAAATTCATATCCATCTGGAACCTTAGTTGTTGTTGAGTCACTCAGTCATGTCTGACTCTTTGTGACCCCATGGACTTCAGCATGCCAGGCTTCCCTGTCCTTCACTATCTCCCAGAGTTTGCTCAAACTCATGTCCATTGAGTCAGTGATGCCATCCAACCATCTCATCCTCTGTCATCCCCTTCTTCTCCTGCTTTCAATCTTTCCCAATATCAGGGTCTTTTCCAATGAGTCAGCTCTTCGCATCAGGTGGCCAAAGTGTTGAAGCTTCAGCTTCAGCATCAGTCCTTCCAATAAATATTCAGGGCTGATTTCCTTTAGGATTGATTGGTTTAATCTCTGTGTTGTCCAAGGGACTCTCAAGAGTCTTCTCCAGCGCCACAATTTCAAAGCATCAAATCTTTGGTGACAAAGTGATGTCTCTGCTTTTTAATATGCTGTCTAGGAACCTCAAAATGTGCCCTTATGTGGAAATAAGATATGTATAGGTGATTCCCTCTTTAGGTTTGTTAATTTGCTGGTTTGGCTCACAGAACTCAGGAAAGCAGTTCACTTACTATTACCAGTGTATTATAAAGGCTACATCTCAGGAACAGTCAAACAAGAGAGACAAAGGGTAAATGGAGGAAGGTGTGGAGCTTCCACACTCTCTGGCACATCATCCTCCTGGCAACTCGATGTTGCCCAGAAGCTCTCCAAATACTATCATTTAGTGTTTTTTTTTAAATTGGAATTTCCATTATGTAGGCATGAATGATTAAATCATTGGCCATTGGCAACTGACATCGACCTCAATGTTCCTCTCCCCTCCCCAGAGTTCGGGGTATGGGACTGAATTCTAACCCTCTAATCACGTGGTTGGCTCTTCTGGCAACAATCCTCCACCCTGAAGGCCCACCAAGACTCACCTTATTAGCATTAACTCAGGTATGGACGAAAGGATCTTGTTATGAAAAATAAAGATCCTCCTATCACTCAGGAAATGCCAAGAGTTTCAGAATTTCTATGTCAAGAACTAGGGACAAAGACCAAATAAGTATTTCTCATTATATTACAATTCATTTTCCACATGAGAAGCATTATTACTTGCTATCATAAGGTCTTAACAACTTGAATAAATCCAGACCTAAGAGATTAACTTCTGTCTCCATCTACAGGACACCCTCAGCTCCAGCTCATTTCCCACCACTTGCTTTCCCCCAGATGCCTTAGGATCTGGAAACACCAAACTGCTTAGTTCCCCAACTGACCCTTCTCCTTCACGCATTCAGAAATTTACTTCTCTGTCTCAAATGTCCTTTCCCCACCACCCACTTCCCTGGTGAATCTGCAACTTCCCATTTACTCTTCATTCATCAGCTCAATCCCTTTTGATGGTGGGTACTGAGATCTTTGCCAACAAAGGTCCATCTAGTCAAGGCTATGGTTTTTCCAGTGGTCATGTATGGATGTGAGAGTTGGACTATGAAGAAAGTTGAGCACTGAAAAATTGATGCTTTTGAACTGTGGTGTTGGAGAAGACTCTTGAGAGTCCCTTGGACTGCAAGGAGATCCAACCAGTCCATCCTAAAGGAGATAAGCCCTGGGTGTTCACTGGAAGGACTGATGCTGAAGCTGAAACTCCAGTACTTTGGCCACCTCATGGGAAGAGTTGACTCATTGGAAAAGACCCTGATGCTGGGAGGGATTGGGGGCAGGAGGAGAAGGGGACGACAGAGGATGAGATGGCTGGATGGCATCACTGACTCAATGGGCATGAGTTTGAGTAAACTCCGGGAGTTGGTGATGGACAGGGAGGCCTGGCGTGCTGCGATTCATGGAGTCTCAAAGAGTCGGGCATGACTGAGCGACTGAACTGAACTGAATTGAACTGAGATCTCTATTTTGCAGAGGTGAAATGGAGGCTTACAAAGGTGCTGCGCACCCTCCCGCCCTGCCCCACGTTTTATGGTCCTTAAACATCTGTCCATCTCCCCCACCTCCCCTTCTTTTGCTCCTGCCACCTTGTTCACCTTGAATCCTCCCCTTCTTACCCCGACCCATGAAGTTCTGACTATTCTTCCAAGCCCAGGGCAAATGTCACCTCCTCCATGAGACCTTCCCAGGTAAGCCCACAGCACTCTTCTCTGCTCTTCTTTTAAGCCCCTCCAGGCAGTTACTGGGTCTTAATCATCTTTATATCTCCCATGGAGATTAGCATAAAGATTTTACTTAGTGGGGACTCAAGTCTTTTTTCTTGTTGAAACAAGTGGAATCCAACTAATGTTAGCCCCAACTCACTCCTTTTTCTACTGACTAGCCTTTGTTAGAACTTAAGAACTGCTTTAACATTTTAAAATGAAAAACTCTGCTGCTAAGCAAACTCCAATTTGGCTGATTTCAGGAGTAAGGGACATGTAAACCCGTTACTTGCAGAAGGTGTTTTATTATATTTACTGAAGGATGGTGGGGAGGAAAATGCAACAATATAACAATGAAGGAAGGAAATGAACTAATTCCTGCTTTAGGGGAAGTATACACAGCTGTGCACCCAGCTGAAGGAGTGTTTTCCAAAAGCAAAACAAACAAATAAATGAAAAATGAGTAATTACATGCCAATAGAGAGCACTTTTATGAGAGAAAAGGGAATGTCCCATCACTGGAGTTATCTGCATACTCTGAATTTGTAAATGCCACCTCAGGACCCTAAGTAGGGAAATAAATTGCTTGAGGGAATATTTTATGTGAGAATCATTAACTCTTCTGTATGCTATGCTCTGTGAACTTTGAAGAATAAGAAATTATCAAAGGGCTATCACAAATCAATCAATCAATATTCACCAGGACTTCCGGGGATGAGAAAAGCACTATTTATGTTGTAAGAGTTTATCTTTTTGGAAATTACCCCTCAGACTCAATAGGATGCCATTCATCATTTAAAGAAATAAGTTTGTATATTTTTCAAATTTTCTTCCCAAAGAAAAGCCTGTCGCCATTATGTTCGGTTTATTGCCCAAATTGAACACAACTCTTTAATAAAATATATGCAACAGGTAAAATGAAGAACAAAATGAGAGTTTCCTCTATTTCAACAGATTTACAGTAATGATTAATTTGGCAAACAGGGCATGCCAATTTGAATGAAAAATTCCCTGAAGCTTTGTAAAATACAATGTAGAGACAGTATTTCAACCTAGCCCCATATTTACAATTGTTAGGGTTATATAACTACCACATAAATACAGAGGAAAATTCTGGCATGAAGCCAGGTACAAATGCAATAAAAGAAAGTTATGTATCAGATTTATATCAGGAAAATGAAGAGCTGTGCCCTGCCTCTGCAGTGCTCATCACTGCACATCCCAGATTTCACAGAGAAGTGGCGTAAACTTGTGGTCATTCACTCTCCATGACATAAGCATGTCTGCGTGGTGATGGTTGAATGTCCTCAACTCAGTCAGGCGACCCAGAAGACAGGCAAAATGTTGAGGATTCTCAGGCTGGAGAATCTTACATAACTTCTGTAGCACATCAAGCAGTGGTTCCTGAAGCTTCTCTACTGCCTCCCTGTCCTTTATGTATTGTCTGTCTGTTTTTCAAGGTCAAAATAAAAGGACAAAAAAAAAGTGGAAAAGTAAAAATTTGGCATAATTACAGCAAGGTTAACTTTTTTTGACCTGTAACTTACAAATATTGTACACTTAAATCGGGCAAAGTGTTCACATTGATGAATTTTTACACACATGTATATATACTCCTGTAATCACAACCAGATCAAGCTATAAAACCTTTACTGCCCCCCAGAGGCCTGCCTAAATTGTCCTTCCAATGAACGTGTTCAGGAAAGACTGACGGTTCTCCTCTGGTTTTAAACTGTGTGCTCTGTTCCTTGTGCTTAGTCATTTTGACTCTGCACTTTTAATAGAATGTTGCCTGGAGCCTGAAATATACAGAATAACCCATTCTCAAGGCTCTGACCTTAAAGGTAGGACACTTTTCCATTCATTTAGAGATAAAATGTTGCAGAACAGAGAATAACATTTGTCTTGTTGGAGGTTTATAGGAACATTATAACCAGACCTACCTGGACAGCTTCGGGTTCCAGCACCAAGAAGTTTGCATCAACCAACCACACCCCCTCCAATTTTATTACCAAAGAAGCCTGAATTCTAACTTGGGTGAGATGGTTCTCTGGAACACTAGTCCACCATCCTAGTCTGCTGGCTTTCAAGAGAAAGTTGCTATTCCTTGTCCTAACAACTCATCTCTTGATATTTCAGACCACCATGTGGGGAGCAGTATGAGCTTGGACTTGGTAACAGATGCACCCAAAAGGTAACCCCAAGAATAGACATAAGTGTCATTTGTGGTGAGTATGTTCTGAGGAGTAGAATTTCTGGGTCATTCTTTCTAAAATTATAATTTCTCATGGTAAAACAAAGTAACAACTATTAATAGCTTCTGCCACAGTATCATATATTAAAATGGTTTAAGGCTAACACTGTAATTAAGCTTTCCAAATCATGAACATGACATTACTTATTCCCAAATAATTAATCAAAAAATATAGACAAATTTTATGTACAGAGATTCATTTCAAAATTATTTAAAACAACAGCAATGACAAATCTGGAAACATCTTGAATATCCAAACATGGTAACAACTGAGTAAATGATTATACATCATACAACATGATGTACATATTGCAGCAAACTTCTACCAGTATGATTTTTAATGACATGGAGAAAGTATAAAGACAGTATATTCTTTATTATGTTAAAAAAAAGTATATAGTTTCATTTATGTCCCGCTCAAATTTCAACCCTTTAGATAAGCCTTCCCTGACTATTGATTATAACAGCATTTTGCTGCCACTTTCTTTCCTTATATGACATCTTAATTTTTTTGTAGTATTATCACTCCCTGAAAATTCTTTTTGTTAGTTTCTTTATTCATTGTCTTTCTCACTCTGCTAGAATGTAAACTACATCCTGCCTATTTCTTTGCTGCTGTATCACACAATGTCTGGAAACATGTTGAGTGTATAAATGTGTTCAAAATGCAATTATTAAATGAATGGGCATGATGTTCAGAAAAACACTGAGAAGAACTACACTGAAATGTTAACAATGGTTCAATTTGAGTGATGGAATTATAGGCCATTTTACTTTCTCTTCATGTTTTTTATCCAAGATTTTCCTTAATATTTCTACTATCCTTGAGAAGAAAACCGAAAAATGGAATAAAAATAAAGACATAACATTGAAATTACCTGGAGAGAGGATAACAATTGCTGTAAGCAGAGCATACTCTTCTTGAGTCATTTTCAATTCTGCAACACTTTTATAAAAGCTAAACATAGGCGTTATATATTCATCAGAGATACCTATGGGGGAAAGTTAAAAAATTGCAGAGGCATAATAAAATTTTTGAATGACTGAAAAGTGTAAAACTACAAACACATTATACACACACAGACAATACTTATACCCATATGTATACGTTTAAATTGGAGAAGGAGGCAATGGCAACCCACTCCAGTGTTCTTGCCTGGAGAATCTCAGGGATGGGGGAGCCTGGTGGGCTGCCATCTATGGGGTTGCACAGAGTTGAACATGACTGAAGCAACTTGGCAGCAGCAGCAGCATACATTGAAATAATGACTATATAGAATATATAAAAATCCCAGTTAAAGGTGAGGCACTGCAAAAAAGATCAGTTAACAAAATCCTTAAAATATAAACTAATCAATGATTTATCTTTGATCTTGACTGTGCCTTTGTTTTAGTCACAACTGTGTGACAATAAATGATAATATTATTGAATTATCAAAAGAATCTCTGAACTTCACCATGTTCTAGATGGGGCTTAGTTAATCTTTTAAATATCATTATCTATAATCAAGACATAGACAGCATCTTGACCAACAAAAAATTATTGTTCTTTAGTCCAGAAGTATAAACTCTACTTAATACATTAGCGAGAGTTCTTAACAGAGTTCCAATCTCTCTCTGAAGTATCAAACTGTTTATCCACTGCCTACCAGGCAATGGGACTTAGCTTTTCTCTTCAAACTCAGCATGTCTAAAATCAAAGACACCATGTACAGAACTAAATTCCCCATCCCTCCAAATCCACTTCTTTCCTGATGTTCCCATTCTTAGTGACTGGTGTCCTCACCCACCCAACTGTCTCCACCTGGTAACCAAGATTCAGCCTCCCTCCAACTCAGTCCAGCACTGAGTCCTCTGGATTTGACCAGCTAACTCTCACCTGGCTCCTGGTTGACCTAGTTTAAGTTTTTAACCGTTTTCATCTGGATTACTCCATCTGCCTCCTCACTGATCTTTGCATCTTCAGTGTGGTCCCTTTCAATCCATCCCAGAATCACCCTTCTAAAATTCAAACCACATCGTGTCTCCCCAGTTCTTTCAAACCTTCAAAAACTCTCAATGGTTTTGGCATAAATGCCTTCCTTTTTACACAGGAAACTCTAGGCCCTGTCCCCTGCCTTTCCCACCACCGACTACTCACCCACATGATAACAACAGGAGTGAACATTTGAGTACTTGCTATGTACTAGGTGCTGTTCTAAGCACTTCTTTCATTGGGACTCATTTAATCTTTCTAACACCCCATAAGATGGGCACAGAGAGGTTACATAACTTGACCAAAGACACACGGCTGGTGAAAAGTGGAACCAGGATTCAAACCAAAGCTAGTAGGCCCCAGAATCCTGGCTCTTAGTTGTGACTAAGGGGTACCATCTTTCTATCACACAACCTTTACTCCAGCTGTGTTTAGACCCTTGGAGTTCCCTAGACAATTCTTATTGCTCAGTTTTGTACATGTTACTTTCTCTGCTTGCAATATCCTCCTCCTTTATAACTTACTCCTCTTCATAATTTAGGATTCCTTTGTGCCACTTCCTCCAGTCATTCAAGAGCTATTAGTTTGGCACCTGTTCTGTGCTTGGCCCCACTCCAGAAAAGCTTTGATTAGGAAATTGTGCAGAAAGGAAAAAAAAAGAAAGGTTGTGTTGTGATTTATGGATGAATTAAGATGAAACTGAGTTTCCCAGAATTGGTTCACAATAGACAACTCTATCCCATCCCAAACTAGACCTAAAGCCTTAGAGCTTAGGTTGAAACATACCAAAGTAAAATTGGATTCCAAATGCTAAAAGAGTCCGATTATCATCTAATAGTACATTTCACAGGATCAGAAAGTCTGAATCCTCATCTTTAGATGAATCTGAAGAATCTTCTCAAACAGAATCCCTGGTCTTTCTCTCTTTTAATCAAAACAGCACTTTTCTCCCCTTCAATGTTTAATCAACGCCAGTGGGCTCTCTTAACAATAGTGTCTTTGTTGAACAACTTGGGGATGACATCATGTGGAAGACTGCCCTCTATCCAGCTGTTACAGATTGAAGTGAATGCCCATGATCAATCTAGATACAACTTAAAATTCAGACGTCTGGAGTATGTAGGCTGGAACTACTAGTCGTGGTTGCCAACAGACATAGTAGTTAAAGAGGTAGTAAGTCTGAGCCTAAAATCTGACCTATGACTTGATCTTGGGCACATTACTTAAACTCTTTCAGCCGCAGTTTCCTCATCTGTGAAATGTGAGTTGTAACAATAGTATTATATGAGACAAAATATGTAGAGTTCTTAGCATCATGCCTAGCCTTTAGTCACTCTACTTGAAAGTAATTGTTAGGTACTTAGTATAGTCAAATGGCAACCCACTCCAGTATTCTTGCCTGGAAAACCCCATGGATGAAAGAGCCTGGTAGGCTACAGTCCATGGGGTCACAAAGAGTCGGACACAACTGAGCGACTTCACTCTCACTTTCTTTTTCACTTAGTATAGTCAAAGTGAAAATGTTCAGTCGTGTCTGACTTCTTGCAACTCCATGGACTGAGCCACCAGCTCAGATGCAGCATCCTTCCTGGCTTATGGTAAACACTCAGTAAATGTTAAACCCTCATAAATGTTAGAGCAAATAATCATAATAAGAACTATTATTGTCATTATTCAGGAAATTGGGTCAATACATTCATTCCATCTTAATGTGTGATTAAGCTCATGTTCATTTGTATTTACAAAGCTGTATTTTTGCTTTTTGTTTTGTTTTTGCATTCTGCAGTTTGCTAGAGATGAATACAAACTGGCTGATCAGTGATTTGCCTCAGTATTTTTCTAGGTATTAAAGCTAAGCTAAGATCTGTATTTGTTAATAAGGCCACTCTTTTTCACTTTTGAGAAACGGCAGTCTTCTATATTTGAGTTCTACACTCATCAGTTGTGGTTAGCTAAAATAATTCACAACTGTCATTATTTTAAATAATACATAAAGGTTTGGAGATAAGGTTGGTGGTGGTTTAGTCGCTAAGTCGTGTCTGACTCTTGTGATCCCATGGACTATAGCCTGCCCGGCTCCTTGGTCCATGGGATTCTCCAGGCTAGAATACTGAGTGGATTGCCATTTCCTTTTCCAGGAGATTTTCCCAACCCAGGGACTGAACCCCCATCTCCTGCACTGTAGGCAGATTCTTTACCAACTGAGCTACCAAGGAAGCAGGCAATTGATTTGAAAATATTTATGAAATCATCTTTGACTACCTAATTTCTTATTTTGTTTTCCTAAATTCCTTTCACCTACCAAAGATGATACCATTAAGCTATCTAATTGCAACTGGTGATTTTGGGGGAAAAAAACAGGTTAAAATGTTTATTAAAAATGTTCATCTTGTAAATGTTCATTTTAAAGACCAACAGTGAACATAGAAAAAATGTAGAAAGTAAGTAATAGAAGAGTTAAAAAAATTATTTTCCTACAGGATAGATCAATATAAAGTTGCTTTTGGAATTAGAGTGATTAATAATCACAATTAATCATGCCAGCATAAACAAAGAGATGCTTTGTTTTATGAGGCAGCAATTTCTAACATAAGCAATGTAACAACAGCATCATCCTGAAGGGGCAGTCTTTTCCTGTTTTCCTGCTTTCTCCTCCTCCAGAAACTTGTTCTAAGTCCAATTAGTTGATTTTTGGTCACAAGAGGGGGCTATTTTCTAATTTAATCACAAAGCCTACTATGAAAATGTTAGTTGGAAAAAAAAAATCACTGTTTCTGCTTCTTTGTTTTTTGTTTTCCTTAAAAAAGTCTGTGATTGATAAATTAATTTTCCAATGATAAATATTCTCTGAGAGAATAACCATGTGATAGAATTAACGCTATGCTCTTTAAAGTTACTTTAAATGTAAATGTCTTTATTTCCTAATTAACTTCCTAGTTTTAATTGGGGGCAAAAATAAAGTAGAGGGGTGTGTGTGTGTATCAAACACAAATGCACATATACAAGGCATCCTCATTTGGCTAGGACACCCTACACATATTTCAAGTTCAAGTTCAAATTTTGCTTTTTCTGTGGAGCTTTTCCTGTCATGTTGAAGCAGAATTAGCTGTTCCCTCCTCTATGTTCAATTCTATTGCACCTCTCACAATTCATATCTCTCCCTCCCATTAGAGTGTGAAATATCATCTATATTTTACAAGAACAGGAGTCAACTGTTCTGTCCCCAGTGCTTGGCACACTGCCTGACCAATTAAGATGGTTCTTATTCATATCTGTGTCATTAGTAACTAGCATCCTACTGGAGACACAGTAGGAGATTAATAAATGCTTGTTAAATTATGCAATATTATGTTTTGTTTGTTCCTAGCAATGAAGGTTACATAGCTGTGAGACGTACTAGGAGAAAGGAGGCCATTCAGACAATGGAAATACTCTTGTGGTGCTAAGAGATTGGACCTTGGCCTCTGTTTCAACTGCTAACCTCCACTCAGTGAGTCATTTTTGCCATACTGTTGGCCTTGATTAAAATATTTAAGATATTTAATACTTTCCAGTAGTCTGAGTGGCTAAAATTTATCTTAGGATAATGGTGCTTAGGAGTTGCCAGGGTTTGGACTGTCTAATTTCAGATCCATCTCAACCAAATTCACCAATTTTTGTGCATCTCGTCTGTGCCAGGCACTGTGTTAGTGCTGGGAACAGCCCTCAAGCAGTTCACAGATTGATGGAGACAAATGCATAAATAAATGCATAATGTCCCAAATTGGACAAGTAAAACAGACTTGGGGAATAGTGCTGAGGGGCAATGGAAATATTGACACGTGTGCTACTTTAATACTATCTCTTATTTTGAAGGGGTTTTGTTCCCTATAATTTTACCCCAAAATTTGTCCCATGCCAAAATTATTATGTGACCACTTTGAAAAGCAACATGAGAAGTTGTAAGATTTCTAAAATTTAAGAATTAAAACTTTCTTATAAATATTCTGTCATTTGTCTCTGTACATTTCCAACCTTTCTTCAAAGACAGTCTATGAACTGACAGTTTAAATCTGCTTCATTAGAGAATTTAGCTTTTATAACGATTTTCATTTTTTATAAGTTGCCAAAGTTAAAGCAGCAAAATCATATATATTTAAAAAGTAGAAAAAATACACTATGTATGGTATGCTTTACTATGCTACAACAACTTCATCACTCTAATAAGCATCTCTCTTTCCTCTGACCTCATTGTCTCTACTCATTCTATTATTTGCTTAAATGCAATTTCAGATTGATAGCTGTGGCTTGTGCTTCTTACTCAGCCAAAGGGGAAGAACCATGTCTTACTGGGTCTTTATATTCCCCACCAGCTAGTAGCTGGGCAAATGTTAGGTCTTAGCAAGTGGCAGGTACAATGTATAGAAACAGTGCTGGGCTTTGAGTAGAACATTGTGTTCATCTCCTGATAGTCTACTGGTTAGCTGTATGATCTTGGGCAGGTCACCCAGCCCATGTAAGCCTGTTTCCCTGATTATAAAATAGGAACATAGCCCTCACCTTTAGAGGCCATTGGAAATACTAAGAAGATGATGCTTGTAAAAGCAAACCATTGCAAAATCACAAGGTATATTGTCATCTTGATAAACACTTACTGAATTGAATATTTCACTTATGTCTATTGTGGGTAATCAAAAAAGGCCAAAACTCACTATAGTTTTCAGAGGTTATTTCTATTTGAAGTGAACGTAACAGAACAAGTTGTTAAGTCTGTGAGAAGTTATTGCTAATTTCCCTAATGTAAAAATGTAAACTAATTAGTGTCAGCAAACCATTTTCAGTTCTATATTTTATGGTATCATATGATTATTCCTATTTTCATTAAAAATTCCAGGTTATAAATGAATTTTGCATAATGCCACATTAGGGATAAAAAACTGATGCACTAGAATTACGAAAAAAACAACTCAGCCACAGGTTGTGTCAGAAATATATTCTGAAGCCTCAATTAACATAAATAAACACTGTAATCCTCACTAAGTAAATGTATCTCAGTAGACAGTATCTTGGTGGATGTAATGGGATTTAATAATAGCAAACAAAAGAGTATGAATTTGAAGAACAGAAAAAGAAATTTCACACTGTATTCTTTAAACAGCTCTGTAGGCTTAAACAGGGTAACTTTGAAATGTTATGTTATTCTGGAATTAAACATACAATAGAAATAAGAATGTGTTACATTTGCATAAAAATAAAGTTATTCTGAAAGGTCATCTTGCAAGATCAGGTTTTTATATGGTGTGGGGAAAAGGCAATGTTCTGAAAATCCACTGGGGGAAGCAAATTCATAAATATTAATAAATGGAAGCATCACTATAGATTAAAAATCTGAAGCAGCACATGAATTTGGATGGTTTTCGTTGTCACAATATGTGGCTGATGTTTGGGTAAAGTATCTTATGAGCCGGAGGCATGCATATTTCTTTATACAGACTGTTCTAGAAAACTTCATTCTTGAACTTTTCTGAAATTTGCAGTATTACAAGTTCTGTAACTTAATGTTATCAAGTAAGGTTTTTTCTTTTTGATCACTAGATATTTTTAGTCTGCAAGACCCTCATGTTTTCTCACCTAGTTATTCACTGGTTTCTTTATAGAGACCTGCTACTTGTCTTAATTCCTCCAAACCTTTCTTCACAATAAAGATCTTTCCATAGTACTTTTATGGTCAAATCGTATCTGTTCAGAATATTACCAAGAACTCCAATTACATAAGAACTAAAGCTACTTCTGTGGCATTCAACATCCTTAATAATCTAGCATTCACTGCATTTTCAGCTGCACAAATATTATCTTGCAGCAATATCAAGGTATTTTTCACTCATATACATGGATGTTCTTTTATTTCTCCACATCTTTGTGGAGAGTTTCTATATTATTTCTATATTATTACCTGCAATTTCTATATTATTCTATTGTAAAGGCTATATCTCTTGGAATGCCTTTTTCAGACTTTTCTGGCTTGACAAGTTCCTAACCATCTTCCATGATTCAACTGATTATATGCATTTTCTGACTCACCAGGAAGATCTGGCAGAAGGGAGGCACAGCTTTAGGCTTCAACTTCATTTTACATACATATTGCTTATAGTCTCTCTTATACTCCTTTGGAATCACTTGCTCGTACACCTTACTTCTCCACTAGTCTGTGAGTGCCCCAAGGACAAAGACCATACATTCTCATTTCCATACCCTCCCCATCACAGTATTCCTCCACAGTAAGTTAAACTGTGTTATTCATTCATGGTTTCATTTTATCTGAGAGGCAGTGAAGTATAGTGGTTAGGACACGTGGCTTCTTAAGTCAGGCTTCCTGTCTATATCTGAAAAAATTATTTAACCACTCTCTGTCTTAATTTTTTCATCTATAAAATGGGAAGAATAATAGTACTTAAAGGATTTTTGTGAGGCTTTGAGGAACCAATCTATAAAGTATTTAGAACATTGCCTGAAACCCAATAAGTGACGTATAAATGTTGCTATTGGTATTATTTCTTATTTGACTTTGAATTGAGATAGATTAATAGCTTGATACATAGTCATTCATAGCTGAAGTTTCTGAATAAATGGATCTTTTTCTAAACTGAATAATCCCCACTCCTTTATGTTATTTTAAAAATCAGACTAATTTTCCAGTATTTAAAAAAATTTTTCCTTTGGTCCTTCATCTTAATGTAGTGAAAAGAGTATTTTTGGTATGTTGCTATTACAACAAGAATTTTTGAACCAAGTCACTAAATTTGCATCTATTTAAATTGCATCTTTTCTTTTTTGTGTCATTTTCCATGCTAGTCACAATGGGCATAAATTGCATTAAGACAGGCAAGAGGCCTGCCCTTCATGGCATATTCAAATTCTTACTTACAGGACAAACACTTTTTACCATTAACCAAATTACTTACCACTCTTTCTAATTCTCTCTTCCAGTAGATCAGTATGTCCAGCTGGAAGTTTCTTACTGAAAATCTCAGCTGAACGGAGGAACATAGCTTCAACTGCAGACCCTTTCAGCAAAGCAATCTGATCTTCATGGTCCAACGTCTGAAATCCTGAATGAAGATGATAATCAAATAGGTATCAAAAAGTTGAATGTTGTATAACAATATTTCATCATCCCCACTGATAGAACATTTCCATAAAGTGACTTTATGATTGTTTTAAGACTGAGTAGCCAAATCAAGTTAATAAGTAACTATTGTACTCTCCAAATAGAAGCTGACTTTTATCTTCCTTGAGTGGGATTCGTTCAATGAGTTGAGCAAAAAAGGATATCAAGTCTACACCGAATATATATACTTGTATACTATAGAAGACACAGGCTGATTCAGACGCAATACTGGAGACAAAGCATATTGTCTTCGAACCATTATTTTAGTCATGTCAGAAAGGGTCAGAGAGGGTTAACTCTGTAGAATGGAAGTATCCACAAGTCAGAAAACATTTTACATGTACTCAGAGGTTTAAATGAATATTTGACCAACTTATGAGTCTTTAATCTATGTGAAGAAGGGACCAAAAACACAATCAGGGCCATGTTGAGGTGTCTGGTCTGAGCTCAGCCCTGCACATGCAGGGTAGGGAAAATAAGAGAAATATGGGAAAGAACTGATGACCTGAAGAAATAGAACGCTGCCTGGAAAATCCAAAGTCCTTATGCAGGCCTACAGGCTACAGTCCCCAGCAGCCTCTTTTACCTCACTTTCTCCTTCATCACCTCCTCTTCAGTCATTGTGCTCCAGCCACACTGACTCCTGGCTCTGCCGTGAGCCCACAAGTCTGCTTTTGCTCCAGGGTATTTGCTCTCCACTATCCCCACGCCTCACTCCCTCACTGTAGGCAGGTCTCTGCTTCAAGGTGACCCTACCTAAAATAGTACTTCCCAGCACTCACTAGTCCCTACCTTCTTTATTTTCATTCATAGAACTTAACACTGTCTGACATGATACTATAGGATTACTGGCTTATTTGTTAATTGTCTCCCACTCTCCTAGAGTATAAACTTTGAAGACAGAAACTTTGCCTGTTTCATTCATTTTTGTTCCAAGTGCCTGACATATAACTTGTATCCAAGAATTATTTGTTAAATAATTTTATAATGACTAAATGAATGAATGGGAAACAAACACAAACTTATGTGCATATTTGTATTAATACACAGACACACATGGACACATGAACACAGACAGAAATAAACTAATGCCATCAGAGTCTAAATGCCCTGGGAAAGCATTAAAGAGCAACAGAATTCAGAGAAGAGAGTAATGACAAAAATTAAAAGTCACTACGTTGATGACAGGCATTCAAAAATACTTGCTCAATGAATAAATGAATGAATTGAAGAACTGAAAACATAGCAAGAGTCCATTAATGGTGATTACCTAAATAAATTATGGTAAATCAGTATAAAATATGATGACAGTATGGAGGAGAGTATAAAATAGGTCTCTAAAATCAGGTTGCCTGGAATAAAATTCTGTCTCCAACACTTGCTATCTTTGTGGTATTAGGAAACATAATCTTAGTGCCTTACTTTCCTTATCTCCAACATGGGGATTATAAAAGTGCCTGCCCCTTAGGATTGGCAGAAGTATTAATGAGGCAATTGCATTAAATGCTTATTTCAGTGTTTGACATACAGTGAGTACTTAAATAATGTTTATTATTATTACAATAGAATACTATACAGTTCTTAAAAGCATGAGGCTGATTTACACATATGCACATGGGAAAATCATAGATGCTTAAAAAAATGCTCTCAAAGAAATATATATTATATGATCTCATTAAATGTTAAAAAACCTATGTATGTGTATGTTTGTAGAGATAAAAATATGTGAAAGAAATCAAACCAGACTTCTATTAATGGTGGTCTAGAATAAAGGTGATACAGGTGGGTGAAGAGAGGACTTTCTAACCCTAACTTTATGCTCCATGTATTTCTGCATTGTTTGAGTCAGGTGATTGAATTACTTACAACGGACACCAATTTATTCAGAGTTCTTCCATCTAAAACTTTAAAAATGGGGTGAAAGATTCCTTCTTTGCCTGCCTGCCGAGCCTGCCTTCTGAGATGGCCCAGATCTATGAGGTATGATTTTAAGGAGATTTGGAAAGGTCTCTGGTAGGAATTTTTTTTTAATCAAAGTCCATTAATCTTTTAAATTCATCCCCCAATTGATAAGCAGACATTTAAGCCCTTTTCCATAATTTGCATTTTGCCCAAGTATAAAATCAGATTGTGAGAGTAAAGAATAAGCTTTTTCAAATTATATTCCCTGTCTACCTCCTACCCAAGATTCTGAATCACGCTTTTAGAAGCTATGCCCCTTTGTTTTTCTTCCTAAAATACAGCCCATAAACTTAAATCAGTCCTGAAGTCTCATTTTCATCTCAGTGTCACAAATGCCTGATCAAGGCAAGTCTCAGAACATCTCTAAGTAGCAGCTCTGCTGTAACCATCTCTTCTCCTATTGGTAGTGAATAACCTTCCCCTGTTCTAAGAATTTGAGTCTTTTCTGTATCTTTAAAAAAAAAAAAAGTCACTACCTTAAAGACTCTAAGAGCTCCTCTGAGGGCAGGAGCCTTGCTGAGTCTCCAGCACCCTGGACAGTGCCTGGCACAGGTTATGCTCAAAGTGCTGAAAGACTTGCTGCGTCTTTCGTAAAACACCTTTTCATACTGGTATTATATCACTATTATTATTATACATAATAATGTTGTCATTTCTAAAGTTATTGTTAATCAATATTCTTAGTTTCTCGGGATTTTCTTGCCTTTAATTTTCTGCTGTATTTAAATTTTTTTCCTTCTACTTAACTCATAAAACATGCATTAATTATTTAAACATGCCTTAATTGTTTCTCTCCCTCAAGAACTATGTTAGGCACTGGAAATGAAGAAGTGTAAAAGATTCTTGCCACTGCTTTCAAATAAGCTACCTTCTTGTAAATAAGATTCTTTCTTTTCTTCAGTTATTTCTTGGTTCAATACCAACTGACCATTTGAACTGAAAAACCTTTTCCCATAAACAACCAAGAGCATCATATTCTCATGATGTTCTACCCCCCACACACAGTTTCCATTCCTGTACAATCTTGGTTTTGATCAAGATTGCTTTAGCTAAATTAGCATACAACAAATTAAGTTTCTCTTTCATTGTTAATAAAGGAATGAGATATATTAATGTTTCAATGATAACAAGAACTTTCTCCCCACATTTTATGACTTTTACATAAGCTTATGTCTATCCATGACACATTTAATAAAATAATATCATAATGCTGGCAAAAGAAAGCAAATTAAATGTCTAATTAAAATCCTACATCAGAAGTTACCTTCTATAACAATATTACAGTTGTGCTACTATACAAGGTATATACTCTACTAGACCATGGGTTTCTAATGTACTAACATATTTTTAAAACACTGAAACAACTTAAACCTATTGACTTAGCATTGATAATGCGGCTGGAAAATGGGGGGGTGGAGAGGGGCGTAACTTTGGGAGATAAGAATCTTGAATTCCAGTTTTTGCACTGACACCATCTAAATGGGGCTTCCAAGGTGGCTCAGTGATAAAGACTCTGCCTGCCAATACAGGAGACCCAGGAGACACAGGTTCAATCCCTGCGTTGGGAAGATCAGCTGGAGAAGGGAATGGCAATCCACTTCTTGCCTGGAAAATCCCATGGACTGTGGAGCCTGGTGGGCTACAGTCCATGGGGTCACAAAGAGTCAGACATGATTGAGCATGCACACACAATCTAAATGACTATGGATAAGGCCCTCTCCCTCATCCCCCACATACAATTGTTCATCAAGCCCTATCAATTTTTGAGTCTCTCTTCATTTCCTCTTCTCTTTCACTGCTATTGCTTTATTTCAAGCCCTTTACCTAGATTGGTGCAGTAGGCATACTAACTGATTCTGACTACCTGCAATGCTTCCCTTTTCAAATCCATCTTATACAAACCCAATAAAGTCACATCTCTGTAACATAAATTTCATCGTGTTCTACTTCAAAAATAAATAAATAAAGCCACCAAAACTCCTTACCATCCAGGGCATAAGAATTAAATCCTTTAGTTATGTCCTCATCAGCCTGGTACCAGCCTGCTCATGTCAAACCAAGGAGCCCACCATAGATACACTGAATCTTCTCTCCCATCTCTAGTGATCCTATTCTTGTTCATGCTTCATTACATTTTCACAAGCAGATCTCTCAACTTGGAATGCCCCTTCTTTCGCATCACCAGGAAAACTCCTTTTTTGTTTTATACCCAAATCAAATAAGATTCTTTCTGAAGCCTCCCGGTCTTTCTCAGATACAATTAGGAACCACTTTCTCTCTGTTCAAACAGCACCTTGTATATGTTAAAAAAGTTTTTTAGCCTTTAGTCACTCTACTTGAAGGTAATTGTTACGTACTTAGTATAGTGAAAGGGAATGTCTTACTTGCTCAGTTGTGTCTGACTCATTGCAACCCCATGGACTATAGCCCGCCAGGCTCCTCTATCTATGGGATAGAGGAGATATTCTTGCCTATCCATTCTCTCTAGGCAAGAAAACTGGAGTGGGTAGCCATTCCCTTCTCCAGGGAATCTTCCCAACCCAGGGATCAAACCTGGGTCTCCCGAATTGCAAGCAGATTCCATCTGAGACAGCTGTTGAGACACAGACTCAGACATGACTGAGCAACTTTCACTTAGAGTAGGTATCAAAAATGCTTATTGGATGAATAAATGGATGAATGACAATTCTGCAAAGTTTAAATTTTTAATCTATCATTTGGTGAATTATTAGAAATGATTTGTTGATGAATGGAACATGATCTGGCTCTAATATTTCATGTCTGTAGTAGACACATGAATTTAGAGTAGATGTGAGATGACTTCCATTCGATGATAAACAGACACCTGCCTTTCAATGTCACAAGAATATTGTACAGTATAGTAGAGAAGTAAGTACGTGCAAAGATACCTGGAAGTTTTTTTGTGAATTCTACGAGAATCTGTACATGACTGGTAGCCATTTCAGTTAAAATGAGAAAATTTTCTTCTGCACTGAATTCTTCTTTTAACTAAATTTTAAGAAAAAAAAAACCAAACAATAAGTAGATCAGAGAAATCAACATGAATATTAGACTACAGAATCATATTTAGATAATAAAATTTAAGACCCAACTCATATTTTCAGATCTTTGGAGAACAAATGCTATTACGAGGCTGAATATGAGACTTACTCTTTGTTTAATATAGCAAAAAGTTTAAAGTATAACTTTAATTCTAAACCCTAATCATTTTAAAGTAACATATTCATATGTAAATTTGACCTCCAAGGTAGTCAAACTCCAGAAAATATTAACTTCAAACACATAATTTTCAGATATTGTACATACAATTTTTAAAAAAAAATTTTTTTCCATTTATTTTTATTAGTTGGAGGCTAATTTACATCATTGCAGTGGTTTTTGTCATACATTGAAATGAATTAGCCATGGATTTACATGTATTCCCCATCCCGGTCCCCCCTCCCACCTCCCTCTCCACCCGATCCCTTCCATTACAGTATACTAACACATATATATGGAATTTAGAAAAATGGTAACGACAACCCTATATGCAAAACAGAAAAAGAGACTCAGATGTATAGAACAGACTTGTGGACTCTGGGAGAAGGCGAGGGTGGGATGTTTCAAGAGAACAGCATCGAAACATGTATATTATCTAGGGTGAAACAGATCACCAGCCCAAGTTGGGTGCATGAGACAAGTGCCCGGGCCTGGTGCACTGGGAAGACCCAGATATTGTACATACAATTTTATTTGTTATTTCCTGAGGCATCCTCTGCTTGCTATATGAATCCATAATATAATGAAGAAGATTCTGTTGATCTGGGGTGAGTTCAGTTTTCTCCTACACTGGCAAAAAAATAAAAGGTGTTAGGGAAGGTGGTTATAAGGCATGTTTCCCATATATACATTCATCTAGAGTAAACCACTAGTAGAAACTGTTGAGAAAAGCCCCAAATATGGCAGAAACCATTCATGCACTCTGTTATAACGTGTACTTGCTTTCTCTGGGCCATTGAGCAAACTATATCACATTTCACTAAATTTGTCCCAAGTGGCTAATTTTCCTATCTACAAAACAGGGATAGCAAAATATTCCTTTCATGTATTTCTTATGAAGAAATAATAATCTGGATATGAAGCCTATCAAGACAATTCACAAAAGTACTGAAAATTCAAAGTTTAATCATAACTAAGAACAGCTTCCCACATATAAAATGGAGACTCCACGTTAAGTGTAGCTATGGGGAACAGGGGTCAACCAACTGTAGCCCATGGACCAAATCCACCTGGTTTTATAAGTGTGTTTCAACAGAACTACACTCGATTTTCAGCGTATTGTCTATACTGCTTTTGTACTACCATGGAGGAGTTGAATGGTTCTCACAGAGACTGTGTGGCCAAGGCCTAAAATATCTGGTCCTTTATAGAAATGTTACCAACCCCTGAAGTAGTGAGTCATCAATCTGGACAATTCAGACCCCAAACACCTCTTTCCCTGTGATTAGCATCTTTTGTGAGATGAGAATAATTATGTCAACTTGTTGCTTCCTTTACCAACGTATTGACACAGCACTATGGCAAAGCAATACAGCCAACCCTTGAGCAACACAGGTTCAAAAACTATGTGGGTCCACTTAAGAATGGATTTCTTTTGTTAAACACGTTCTGCTGCACTGCAGAATCTGTGGTTGGTTTTTGAATTCACGGACGCAGAACTGAGGTTACTGTAGGGCTAGCATGTGAAATGACATGTGGATTTTCAACTGCCTGAGAGTGGTACCCCTAGTCACCCTCATGTTGTTTAAGGGTCATCTGTACTTTTAACATAAAATTATTTTTTCTGAAATGAATACAAGAGAATATAGTTGCAAAACTAAATATGGATGACATTTTCATCAGTGGTATAACATTGAGAAAGGTATGACTTGACTGATCATGGATTACTGGTTTTTCAACTAATGGAAAGTTAAAATTTTTCCAAAAGTCTTCTGCACCGTCATCATATGTTTGGCCAAGCATCCAAGATTCTGTTCCTCTGTTTTGTGCAAGTAGCTGAAAGGATTTCTTGAGTAATTTGTGACCTCGGTGGGAATGGCCTTTCTCTATTGATCCACAGATGTGTATTCACCCTGTCTTACCCCTTGAGAAGGACTAACCCACAAGCCTCTACTGAATCCACATCCTTTCTAGTCTGAGCCTCACTTCTCAATGACAAGGAAAAAATGTCATCAAAATGTGGTTTTAAAAAACCCTCTTTATCTCCCAAGCCATTCCCACTGGCCAACTCAGGGAAGCAGGAGAGGAATGGGGTCAAGGAGATGGGACTCTTGTACTTATTTTACTTCACCCATGTTTACATGGGCTTCCCTGGTGGCTCAGATGGTCAGGAGTCTGCCTGCAAAGCAGGAGACCCAGGTTTGATCCCTGGGTTGGGAAGATCCCCTGGAGAAGGGAATGGCTCTTGCTATCTTTTGAATTTTTACATGGAAGCATATATTACTCTTTTGATTAAAAAGCAAAGAAGAGGGTCTTCCCTGGTGGACCAGTGGCTAAGACTCTGTGCCCCCAACACAGGAGTCCTGGGTTCAATTCCTGGTAAGGGAACTAGATCCCATGTGGTGCAACTCAAGATCTTGTTTGCCGCAACTAAGACTTGGCACAGCCAAATAAATATATAAGTATTTAAAATACATAAATAAAAAGCAAAGAAGATAATCAGTTGATGCACACTTGAAATGAAATCCTGGCTGTGGCTGTGGCCCTCGTCTGAAAGCCCCCCGCCCGTGTCACGACATCCTGGAAGCTCGCGGCCGCTGGTTCTGGCCACACCGTGGCCCGTCATTACCCTGCAGGACTTGGTCGTCGAGGTCACCTGTCGCAGGTCACGACTTTCACTGTCTTCATGGACGGCCTGATCTGCATGCTGCTTCACATTTTTTCTCAGTCGTTTAGATTTACACTGAATTTCAGTTAACAAGCCTGAAAAAATAAACAGAGTCTTCACCATCCAAGGAAAGTCCTATTGAGTGTTTGTGGTCACAAGGCAGCTGAGCTGTAGTCGGCTCTAAAGGTCTCCTTTGCCATCTGGCACTGAGCTGATTCTAGCCCTGCTGACACTCTAAGACTTGACCTTGAGCAAGAAATGCATCTCCTCTGAGTCTCAGTTTTTTCCTTAATAAAATGGAAATGATATTTACCCTATAGAGTTTTTTGTGGATTAAATACGACTAGGTCACTTTTTAAAAAGAGTAAACAAAGAATCTGTAATAACAAAGCATTGTACAAATGTAAGGTAGTCAATAAAAGAAGGTGGATGACACTCACTCTTCCTGGCCTAGGGGGCCTCAAAAGCTCGTGTTTCAAAGCATAGTATTAATATTATTTTTCGTTGACGTTTACATAATGTACTATAAGAAGTATATTCAATTTCACATTAAACACATTAGTAAATGTGTTGGGTAAAATGATGTCAACATCCTTTAGGGAAAGTTTTTAAAGTCTTGTTAATTTTCAGAATTGTATAAATTATTGAGAACATAGTTATAGATGAAAATAACTCCAGGGGACTTTGAAATTTTTTTTTGAATTATCATGGGGCTTCCCTGGTGGCTCAAAAGTTAAAGAATCTGCCTAAAATGCAGGAGACCTGAGTATGATTCCAGGGTAGTGAAGATCCCCTGGAGAAGGTACTAGCTACCCACTCCAATATTCTTGCCTGGAGAATTCCATGGACAGAGGAGCCTGGCAGGCTACAGTCCATGGGGTCACAGAGTAGGACATGACTGAGCAACTAACACTTTCACATTTTGAATAATCATACAATATCATCATGAATTTTCACTTAAACGGAACAATCTAAAATAGTGGAGAACAATCTCCCATGTTCCCATTTAACTTCCTCATTCTCTCAATGTTAATGAAACAAATCTCCAAGAATTTCTTTGTCTGGGGCATGTATTTTATAGGATCATAGAAAAGTTCCTGTATCTGTTGCTGGATGAGTCTGTGTTTTCATAAATAATATTACAGACTCTTATAGGTAGGGTCATGAAGAATGTCCTCAGGACTTAGCTGGAACAAGTTCATATTTAAGTGATGAGGAACATGAACTCCCTCGGATCGAAGTGAGTGTTTCCACTGTAAGATTGGATTCCAGCTTCAGCCCCTGCTGCAGTCTCTTGTTTCATACATGCTAAGAAGAGATTGTGATCGGCCACTATAAAACTTTCATCTATCCAGAGCTGGATTATTTACACTGCCCTATTTTCTTCCCCTTCATGCACGCATTATTTCTTTGGGTCCATCCCAGTTGCCTGTGGTTGGAGAACAATAGAACTGGAGTCACCTTCCAAAGGCTTTTATTTCATGTGGCATTCCCTCTCTGAATGTTACCATCTCCTTGGTGATGTTTGTTTGTCTATTTGTGTTTTGAGAAGGAAGAGGACATATCTCAGAATCTGAGGGGTCTGCAGAATTTCCAGAATAAAAATTAATATGTTACATACTAGCGTGCATTCCAAATTCTGATGAAGATTACAGTTTCTCACAAAGCCAGCAGTTAATACAGTGTCTCTTTATCTGATCGAAAGACCAAATTATATTAAAACTCGGAGTAGTTAATTTCCTGTGTAAACCTATACAAATTGGTTCAAAGCTGCACAAAGAGAAGGAGTCTTAATAAAACGACTTGGTTTAAAACTCTATCTAGACAATTCAGAGGCAGTTATACCTTATAAAACATTCTTAATTTTCCCCACAGCTGTGAATTTTTATGCTAATTAAACAATAAGTAAGCAGGATATTAAATCATATTTGGAGGAAACTTTTAGACTTTTTTCTTTGTAGCTAATTAAAACATGCTATTTTGGCTGTATGTTAAAGCCACTTCATTTCACATATAATTCATCGCAAGAATGGACACCAAATACAGCTGTTTCTCTCAGGTGTATGAAGTGCACTGCAGCTGACAGTTTGGACAATTTCAGTGGTTCATTATTCTTTTCAAGAACTTAGATGGCTTACTAAGTCCCTTCCTCAATTTATGACCTACCATTCTAATCATATGAATTACCTGACATCTGCCTCCTTACGAGATTTTTAGTGGAATTTAATTGCTTGATGCAAATACCTGTATACATACATTCAGCCAACATTCCCATTTCTTTGCATTTCCTTAGTCGACACTCTTGGCACTTCCTTCGCATGTACATGTCCATCACGCAGTTGCCCCCGCTTTTACACTTGTACACGGCGTTTTTGGTAATGCTTCTCCTGAAGAAACCTGGAGAAGAAACACAGAAAGGAGTAAGAGGCTCCGAACAACACACTTGGCTTGAGAGATGGCAGAGCACCTTCTCATGAACCCCTGCAGGGCACCCAGGCCATCCCCGACCATACCTGTGACAAATGTCCTTTCAGTTGCCCTGCATGGTCCAGATTGGCTGCAATTTTAATGATTTATCTCTCAAAAATAAAGACATGCTTGAATGATAGCCTCTCTTAGAAAAACTCTTGGTTTTAAAAGATAGATTACTTTCATTAGTGTATCTTTACAGAGAGACAATTAACCACTAATGAGCTCTAGGTGCTAGTGGTAAAGAGTTGAATAAGTCATCCCAGCGCTCTTACAATCTACGGGATGGTTGAGAACATAGAGATGCAAACAACCAAATCAGTGACACTCCGTGTTCCTGGGCTGTGCTGGGGCAAAGAGGCTGGCTGAATGGTCAGTTCTGGGTGCAGAGGTCAGACTCAGAAGCGAGAAATGAGGTGTCTTAAAACACAAGAGACTGTTAACCAGGCAGACAGGGAGAGGTCACATTGAAGGTTTCATTTCAGTACTTGATATACCCAACTTGGTATACTAATAAACATGCAAACCTTGCTTTAAAAATAAGCATCTCCCTGAAGAGGATGTAGCCATAGCCACTGCTGCTTCAGTTCGGTTGTCTGGAGTAGGGCAAGGCATTGACTGACTCACTCTCTGCTTCTCCTGTTCCTCGTCCACCCATGGACCTGGATGACCCTAGTTCCTGACTCTTCCATGGTGAATCAAGAGAGAATTGTGGGGGGGCAGGGGAGGAAGTGACAGGGAAGTGCTTACTTGCCTGGTGTTGTCAGAAGCTGGTTTCTACCTAGCAAGTTTCTGAAATTGACTCTTTCTCCCATGGGCTGGATTATTTTGAGAATCCTCCCTTCTGCCATGCAGTTCCTTGATGAGGGCAAATATGTCTCTCTTCTAGCCCCTGGCCTGTATCTTCCCCTGCTTCTAGGAATTTGGTGATTCACCTCCATTTTCTTTCTTCTGAGGTCCCTCCATGTGGCTCTCCTAGCATGGAGTTAATCCCATGCCGTTTGCTCCAACAAACTCAGAGGAAGTTTCTCCCACCTATCCATGAGCAGTCAGCTGCCTGCCCTCTTGACCTTTCAACTTCTCAGGTGAAAGTCAGACATGAGTCTCTGGTGTCCCTCAGCTGCGGAGAATATTTGTCAGTCTCCTCAAGTGATCCTACTGACAACCCTTCCACTGGGCGCAGGGCAACAGGGCCTCCTTAGTGTATAGACCGTATCTGGGGAAGAGGGATGTCTTTTCCTAATTCTCATAAAAGCCCCACACTTCTCCCACTGGTGTTGAGTGTCTGAGTGTCTCCTGTGGAGGTATGTGTCAGCAGTGGGATATGCCACTAGGCAGGGACTCTGGGTGCATGAGACCTGGGTGTGGCATAAGCCCTCCTGGAGGAGGTCGCCATTAACCCCACCACAGAGCCACCAAAACTTACACAGGACTGGGGAAACAGACTCTTCGAGGGCACAAATAGAACCTTGTGTGCACCAGGGCCCAGGAGAAAGGAGCAGTGACCCCACAAGAGACTGACCCAGGCTTGCCCATGAGTGTCCCAGAGGCTCTGGCGGAGGCGTGGGTCAGCGGTGGCCTGCTGCAGTGCTGGAGGCACTGAGTGGAGCGGTGCGTGACTGAGAACTTTTGAAGGAGGGCGCCGTTATCTGCATTCAGTACATCGGACTCTTTGCGACCCCATTGGCTGCAGCATGCCAGGCTTCCCTGTCCATCACCAACCCCCAGAGCTTACTCAGACTCATGTCCATTGTGTTGGTGATGCCATCTACCGTCTCATCCTCTGTCGTCCCCTTCTCCTCCCACCTTCAATCTTTCCCAGTATCAGGGTTTTTTCAAATGAGTTAGTTCTTCACATCAGGTGGCCAAAGTATTGGAGTGTCAGCTACAACATCAGTCCTTCCAATGAATATTCAGGAGATATTTCCCCTAGGATGGACTGGTTGGATCTCCTTGCAGTCCAAGGGATTCTCAAGAGTATTATCCAATATCATAGTTCAACAGCATCAATTCTTTGATGCTCAGCTTTCTACTTGGAAAGTAGAAAACCATGCTCAGTTTTCTACTTGGAAAACCATAGCTTTGACTAGACGGACCTTTGTTGGCAAAGTAGTGTCTTTGCTTTTTAATGTACTGTGTAGGTTGGCCATAACTTTTCTTTCAGGAGTAAGAGTCTTTTAATTTCATGGTTGCAGTCACCATCTGCAGTGATTTTGGAGCCCAAAAAATAAAATCTCCAACTGTTTCCAGTTTCCCCATTTACTTGCCATGAAGTGATGGGACTGGATGCCGTGACCTTAGTTTTCCAAATGTTGAGCTTTAAGCCAACTTTTTCATTCTCCTCTTTCACCTTCATCAAGAGGCTCTTTAGTTCTTCTTCACTTTCTGCCATAAGGGTGGTATCATCTGCATATCTGAGGTTACTGATATTTCGCCCGGCAATCTTGATTCCAGCCTGTGCTTCATCCAGCCCAGCATTTCTCATGATGTACTCTGCATATAAATTAAATAAGCAGGGTACAAACATACAGCCTTGACATACTCCTTTTCCTATTTGGAACCAGTCTGTTGTTCTGTGTCCAATTCTAACTGTTACTTCCTGACCTGCATACAGATTTCTCAAGAGGCAGGTCAGGTGGTCTGGTATTCCCATCTCTTTAAAAATAAGAATTTTCCACAGTTTGTGTTGATCCACACTGTCAAAGGCTTTGGCATAGTCAAGAAAGCAGAAATAGACATTTTTCTGTAACTCTTGCTTTTTTGATGATCCAACAGATGTTGGAAATATGATCTCTGGTTCCTCTACCTTTTCTAAATCTGGCCTGAACATCTGGAAGTTCACAGTTCACGTATTGTTAAAGCCTGGCTTGGAGAATTTTGGGCATTACTTTACTAGCATGTGAGATGAGTGCAACTGTACAGTAGTTTGAGCATTCTTTGCAATTTCCTGTCTGGGATTGGAATGAAAACACCTTTTCCTGTCCTGTGCCCACTGCTGTGTTTTCCAAATTTCCTGGCATATTGAGTGCACCACTTTCACAGCATCATCTTTCAGGATTTGAAATAACTCAACTGGAATTCCATCACCTCCACTAGCTTTGTTTGTAGTGATGCTTCCTAAGGCTCACTTGACTTCACATTCCAGGATGTCTGGCTTTAGGTGAGTAATCACACCATCGTGATTATCTGGGTCATGAAGATTTTTTGTATAGTTCATCTTTTTTTTTTTTTGTATAGTTCTTCTGTGTATTGTTGCCACCTCTTCTTAATATCTTCTGCTTCTGTTAGGTCCATACCATTTCTGTCCTTTATTGTGCCCATCTTTGCATGAAAAGTTCTCTTGGTATCTCTAATTTTCTTGAAGAGATCTCTAGTCTTTCTCATTCTACTGTTTTCCTCTATTTCTTTGCATTGATCACTGAGGAAGGCTTTCTTATCTCTCCTTGCTGTTCTTTGGAACTCTGCATTCAAATGGGTGTATCTTTCCTTTTCTCCTTTGCCTTTAACTTCTCTTCTTTTCACAGCTGTTTGTAAGGCTCCCCCAGACAGCCATTTTGTGTCTTTGCATTTGTTTTTCTTGGGGATGGTCTTGACCCCTGTCTCCTGTGCAATGTCATGAACCTTCGTCCATAGTTCATCAGGCACTCTGACTATCAGATCTAGTCCCTTAAATCTATTTCTCACTTCCACTGTATAACTGTGAGGGATTTGATTTAGGTCATACCTGAATGGTTTAGCTGTTTTCCCTACTTTTTTCAATTTAAGTCTGAATTCAGCAATAAGGAGTTCATGAACTGATTCTAGCTCAGCACCTAACCAACCTGGGGAGTTCATCTTTCAGTGCACTATCTTTTTGCCTTTTCATACTGTTTTTGGGGTTCTCAAGGCAAGAATACTGAAGTGGTTTGCCATTCCCTTCTCCAGTGGACCACGTTTTGTCAGAACTCTCCACCATGACCCATCCCTCTTGGGTGGCCCTACATGGCATGGCTCATAGTTTCATTGAGTTAGACAAGGCTGTGGTCCATGTGATTAGATTGGTTAGTATTCTGTGATTGTGATTTTCAGTCTGTCTGCCCTCTGATGGAGAAGGATAAGAGTTTGGCCTTTGAAGGATAGTTTGGCCTCAGGTCAAACAACAGAGAAGGAACATAGCCCTCCCATTTACAGAAAATTGAATTAAAAATTTACTGAGCATGGCCCCACCCACCAAAACAAGACCCAATTTCCCCCTCAGTCAGTCTTTCCCATCAGGAAGCTTCCATAAGCCTCTTATCCTTATCCATCAGAGGGCAGACAGAATGAAAACCCCAATCACAGAAAACTAATCAAACTGATCACATGGACCACAGCCTTGTCTAACTCAATGAAACTATGAGCCATGCCTTGTAGGGCCACCCAGGATGGATGGGTTGCAGTGGAGAGTTCTGGCAAAATGTGGTCTACTGGAGACGGAAATGGCAAACCACTTCAGTATTCTTGCCTTGAGAACCCCATGAACAGTATGAAAAGGCAAAAGGATAGGACACTGAAAGATGAACTCCCCAGGTTGGTAGGTGCCCAATATGCTACTGGAGAACAGTGAGGAAATAATTTGAGAAAGAATGAAGAGATGGACTCAAAGCAAAAACACCCAGTTGTGGATGTGACTGGTGATGGAAGTAAAGTCTGATGCTGTAAAGAACAGTATTGCATAGGAACCTGGAATGTTAGGTCCATGAATCAAGGTAAATTGGAAGTGGCCAAACAGGAGATGGCAAGAGTGAACATCGACATTTTAGGAATCAGGGAACTAAAATGGACTGGAATGGGTGAATTTAACTAAGATGACCATTCTATCTTCTACTGTGGGCAAGAATCCCTTAGAAGAAATGGAGTAGCCCTCATAGTCAACAAAGAGTCTGAAATGCAGACTTGGATGCAGGCTC